GTTTATATCGATCTACTTAGACGTTTGGCGGCGGGGATAGTTAATTGTATAGGTGTTTTTAACTTAAGCTAACTAGTATAAAACTGGACTGATAATTTGGAACAGTGACAGGGAAATCATACCAATTGTTCTATTTATACCCATGGAGTAAAAAGGACTCTGAAGTGCGTAACTTTGTCGCATTATTATTTATTTTGTATAATAACATACAAAGTAGTTTTAGCGACTACATGTTTTAATGATTATCTTTCTTGGTGAAATGTTATTACCATAAAAAAAGGATGATTCGACTTACTAATTTATTCTAAGAAGTCGAGATTCTAATGTATCACCTCAACTCTACCTTCAATTTCAACGCCAACGCAAGACGTCACAGTTTCACCTACATCTTTGTTGGAAGTTCAAAGTAATCTGTGTGGGATGGATTTCTAAGGAAGTACATCGTTCTTTTCCTTCATTGGCATCGCTAGCCAGTAAATGGTGAGTCAATAATTAGTCTAATATCGGTATTATAATCTTAAGAAACTATGTATCCAAAATTGTGTACGTCAAAGGTGACACACCGTAAGTTACAAAATACATGCCTATATTTGCTTATTGCACAATATCAAGTAGTAAGCTAAAGGAAAAAAAAAAAAAAAATCAACGATTCTTCTTTCTAACAAGAACTGTTACAACGTTCAATATTAGGATTTTGAAAAAAACATTTGTTATGCAATTATGGGAACATTGATAAGTAATCGTAGAGTGAAATTGTACTATGACGAATTATTTGCATAACTATTTTATAAATTCAACATAAATTATAATATAGTACCGTTAAATATTCTTTAGATTTATAAATATATTAGAATATCATTACATACCTATATATGTATAATAAACATAATATAACATATAATGAGGCGCTAAAAGTTCAAATATACTTTTAAAAATATCTATTAAAATATAGCATTACATAATACACACAAAAAATTATAGTATACGGTTTTTAAATATGTAGACTTGATTAACTCTCATTCAAAAATTATTAAAATAAATAACTATCCCCATCCGATACCCATACAACAATAGCAGGAGTTTGTAAAATACAAAATATTTAGAGTGGAGACCCTTAGTGGTAAAAAGTTCGGTTTCCCAAAAAATAAATTTTTAGGAATCTCGATTATTTATTTATAAGGTTTTTAATATTTTCCGGTCATTTCCAAAATCTTTAAGTTTAAATATTTAAAGAACTTGGAAACTCTGCGGGGCCCCATATAACTATCTGGTTTTATCCATCCTAGATTTATTTTAAAATCAACTACTCAAAGCTTATTGAAATTAGGTATAGATCAAAAAATATTTTGTTTCTTCATGTATAATTTTTTGAGGTTTTCTTAGTCAGAAACAAACGTTTCAATTATTATAAAATAATTTTATTTTATTAAAATAATAATATGAAATCATTGTTATACAAAAGGTATTATAAATAAACCACAACTGAATAAACAAAGTAGTGTTAAAATATCTTCTTATTCATTTGGCAGAATAATTTTTATTTATTGACGGCTCATTTTGCAATCATAATAATTATAGAAATAGTTTATGTGAACCTTTTTAATGTAAAATATTGTATATTCTTAGAAGGAATATCATATATTCTTAGATAGAATAGCATATATTCTTAGAAAGAATATCGTATATTCTTAGAAATAATGTTGTATGTTCTTAGAGAGAAATTATATGTTAAAAAAATATATATTGGTTTCCTCCCTTTTTTATATGATCCTTTATTTTTATCAGGCATTAAAAGAATATTTTAAATGTATTATTGAATTCAATTTTCCTTACTTAGTCCTTAAAATTTTGCTAAATAAATATTTTTAAATTATATTTTTGTTTATCCCTGTTTAATAGTTTTATAAAATTTCAAAGGAGGTGCTGTTAATTTTTTTTTATCCAATGATAGTGAACACAGCGAGATTCATTATTAAAAATGTATAGTTTTTCTTGATATAACTCTTCGTACTATAGCTTTCTTAAATTTCAAATATTAGATTCACACCAACGAGTTCTGGTTTGAACTTCAAATTTATATTCTGCGTCAAAGTTGCGAATCGAAACAAAATTGTTAAAATACAAAATTTTAAAGCTAGTAAATTGAAGGATACTGTCGTGTCTATAAATAAATATCGTATAAAGTCGTTAAGATATTTATTATCGAAGGAAGATATCATTTACTTCCTTAATATTCGCTTGTTTCTATGATGAAATTAAATTACGACATTTGGAAAATTAACTTCTACCATTAAAAGAGATTGAAAAGACCGATGATGGACATTTCCACATATTAAACAAAATAACTAACTATGAAGTGAGTGTCTCTTAATGGCTCTTCAAGAGCAAACAGTTTTCCTTCTTCCACTTAATCAATTAAAATAATTTCCAAATTAATGACAATCATCTTGAGTATGGTATATTACATTTGGTTTTACTTGAATAGATGTTAATTTGACGTTAAATGGTGAGTCAGTACTGTTTTTATGTTTGCAACGGATTATTTACTGTTTGTTTTAGTATTAGAAAGAATCATGAACTATTTGAATACCAAAGTACAACATTAAAATAAAGTACCAAAGGAAACATCACGACCGTTATTTTATACATTTTACAGTTTCTGATTTGGAAAAAATAAATAAATAATTGAAGAGAAGAATGGTTGTGGTGGTTAGTAAAAAATAAAGTAAAAATAAATAAGTGTATTTATTTTTTTATAATAATATAATATTTTTACAGTTTTTTTAATTGATCTCCCCAATCATTCTTTTCTTCAATTATTCACTACAGGAAACCATCAATCCACAATTAAAAAATAAATAAATAAAACTACGGAGAAAGATAATGAAGAAAAAACTAATTAAAAAATATAAATGAATATGCATTTTAAATTTATTAAGGTCAAACTTCCTAAGATGATTCACGGAAACGGCGGTGAAGATAGACGTCCATTTATAGATAATGCCATTATCTATAATGAACGCTGTGACCTAAAAATCAAATTTTATATATTTGTGTCTATAAGTGAATCCAAAAATTGTTATTTGGAGAATTCTAAGCGTTGGAAGATAAAGAAATTTTCAACTAGTAATATACTAAGAAACTTGCACTAGTTTATTCTTATTTACTGGTTAATTTTTCGACAATCTGTGAGTTTGAAAAAAAAAAAAATATAATGCCATTATCTGTAACGAACGCTGTGACCTAAAAGTAGGCACCGATATAAAAACAATTACTAATATCATAAATGTTTTGATGTTTTCATACTTCTTTAATACAGAGGTGGAAAGCAATTGGAAATGAACTGTTGAGTTGTTGAAGAAAAGAAAAGAAAAATATTATCGGCACCATGTTGAAGTAACCGAAGTGTAACGTTGGAAAGGTTGGGGCTTTCGGACTGAAGCTCCCTCTCCCCCCTCCCCAAAAAAATGGTAAAATATAACCATGTTTTATAGAAAAAAAAAATTAAAATCTATCTCTTTAAGTATTATTGTTCATGTAATTATATTTAATAGAACTTCAAGAATCAATTAACCACTACTTTCATATAGGTTGTTAATTTCTTTCCTTTTTTTCATATTAATTATTGTTTTATATATATGAAAAAAAAGCTTTCGGGTTGAAGCCGCCTCCTTCCCAAAATTAAATCCTGGACATGCTTGTGATACTATGTAAACTAAACCAATATACTCGTATGTGCATTAAACATATATAGCTTATATTTGTATTAAACATACCCAAGCGTTTATTAATGCTGAGTTAGTTTTAATGTTTAGTCATATTAATGAATTACAAAATAGGATAATTGATGATGTACTGGTATTGCTAGTCACAAACTATTATTCGTTGAGGAGTTTCTTTATGTATTACTTTTCGTCAGGACCAGGTGAAATTTAAACAGTACCCAGCTGGAGGTATAAACTATTGATAAAAAATATAGTCACGGAAATCAATTATGGTGAATGGTGAAGTTATATATTAGTGAGCACACGGAAAAAGAAATCCTCCTATTTTGAAGTAGATTTTGATAATAGATTTGACCATAAATTTTAATCAAGACCTATTGAAACTTTATAAAATATATATATATATATATATATATATATATATATATATATATATATATATATATATACCTTAATTTTATGTATTTCATGTACGTTTTTAATTAACATTTTAAGTATATATTCATGGACATTAAAAACGTTATGTATCTTAATAATCGTTAATAGTCAAATATATTAAATTAGATAAATTTAAGAGTGGGGCAGCTCAATGGTTAAGGCACTGCCTTCCTAAACCCAGTTTTTATTTTTTAATATATATTTTTTTAAAATTAGATCAGTGGGAAAATCTAAAATTATCTTTCAATTGAATTATATTGTACATAGATAATACAAAAGACAAATAAGAAATGAAATATATTTTAAAAATTAATTATGAGTTGTAATGAAAGATTTTATTGAAGAGAAGATATTATTATTTATATATTATTTTATTCTTATTTTAATTATTGTATATTTTTATATTGTAAATATGGTATGAATGTGATCATTTCTCGCTATATCTATTGTTCTTTAATGTCAGATGATGTAATACAGCTAAAATAAAAAAAGTTTTAAAATAAAAATAAAATGGAAGAAAAAACAAACAATAAGAGCTTTATTAATTAATTCAAATTGCTTTGACTAATAATTATTCCATTATTTTCTCTGATCCGAATTAGAAAGTGATTTTAGCGTCAAGGTCAGGGTCATTCATTTTTTATCAACAAAATATTTATATATTAAATATAACCAATCAACTGTTAATTTTAATGTTTACCAACAATTATGAATATCTTACTGAGATAATTACTGTTCTAAGTTATTTAATTTTTATGGGTAGTTACAGATACCACATCTTTGGATGTACACAAATATGCCGCGAAGATGTAATAAATATTTTATTTTGAAATTTACCTGGCTGAGGTTTTTGGTACTCGAGCCACACGGCGGCTGTAGCGAAGCCAATGCAGCAGCATATGAAGAGAAGGCAAGGCGTCTGCATCCTTACTCTCAACGTCGGCACGAACTGATTGTCGAGATCCCCTCCACTTCCTGTAATCTGAAACTAACTCTTTAGTAGTTAGTGGATCAAGTGTAAGTTCCGTTGGCCGGAGTCGGACTGTCCCCACACTTGTGTTGCGACATTTATACCCAAGCGGGAGCCTCCCCACTATTCTCTCTGGAGCAAAGGTTGTCCATGTAATAAATTCTAGAGGGATCAATACTGAGAACTATTATAAATAGCTTAAACTATTATGAAAGATTGTTCCCTCCAAACTCATTTTTCGAGATGACGAGATTGGAATTTAATGGCCCCCATTGCATCGTTAGAATATTCAAAATTCTTTAAAATGATCAGCGATAGATTTTTGTAAAATTAGTACAAGCTAGTGGAAAGAAATATTCCATTAATTCCGGGAAAGTGGATGATAAATTTAAATAATTGAATTGGTACACCTATTAGTACATTATAAACTGGTATTCTATTCTTGATTTAGATGAACCTCGTATGTCATATTTCAGCTAGAATTTATTGAAATGCTAAACCTGTTTAAAACTATATCTAAAACAATATCCTACGACATACACAAAAAGTGCTAAGGACATTAATATCTGAATTAGTATACTAAAATACATATTATTTTCACATATTTCTCAAAAACATTAATATATGACTTTATGAAACAAGTCATTCTAAATCTGTTGGAAAACTTTTGCGGTTATAATTTATAATTGACTTTATTTTAGGCGTAGGAAATTATTTAATTTATAAAATTACACTTTAATTTTCATGTAAATTGGTATTTGATAAAATGTTTATTACATAAACAGGATATTAAATAAATATAAACAACATTTGAAGGACGGTGACAGGATAACATTGCATAGATGATCATATATTGAACATTTAGACCTTTTTCTCAATAATGATCAGATACCCCAGTATTTGTTGATTCCGACTAGTTTCAAATATACGAAACTTTTTATGCAGATCCGCCTCTCGGGAAAATATATGATCAAGATTTCTGTTAATAATAAAATTGTGAAAATTACTCCACTAATTGAGTGAAAAATGTGCAACACTAAAGAAAACTAAACATTTTATCATATATTATTTAAATGCCGGATTTACAGTAATTTAAGGTTAAGCATTAACAAGGGAGTGGGAAATCTTGATGGAATAGAAATATTTAAGTCACCCACTGCAGAAGATATGCGAAAATTATATTTTTTATTTCAAACATATCATATTAAACAGAATTGGTAAAGTAGTATGGAATATTGTCCACTGCATATTATGGGAAATATTCTATATTGCATATCGGCATGTAATCTGTCCGGGTCTTGTTTCTTGGTTCTTCTCTTAGGTATAGGGGTAATCTTTTGATTTAATTTTAAAGTATAGTTCAACATTCATATTTTAAAAAAATGCATTTATTGTTTTAATTGTTATTGTATGTATGTTGTTGACAATTTTAGATTTTTTATTAATTTGATATTTGGATCTATTTTAACTGTCTAATTTTTACCGAATATGCTTTTTAATTTATCCTTAAGAGCGTTGTAATATCTGTAATGTATTATAAAAAGAATGAATTCGTATTATCATAAGATTGATAATGTTCGTTATTTTGTGATGGACTCCATTATTCCATAGGGTTCTTCCCTTAAAATAAATAAAGATTAATTATTATATATATAAATATATATATATATATATATATATATATATATATATATATATATATATATATAAAATTATATTTATTTAAATCAAACATTTTCATTATAAGATAAAACAATTTCATTGACATCAGTGTAAGAATAATGAAACATAATATAATTTGATTTTAAAAAATATAAAAAAATAGTGAAATACAAAATTAATCATTTATTGGTAATTATAAATGATTGGTTTTGTATTTCACTAAATTTTTATATTTTAAAAATCAAATTTAAAGATTAGAATAAAATTCATTTCATGATTGTTTCGAGTGAAATATAATTAAGAAAAACTCATAGTCCGTGGTACAGACCCCTTTTTATCGAATTATTGACATTCATCTGAAATTTCATAAACAGTTTCATCTTATTGTAACCTAAAACTATTTCATTTACGAAAACTCTTGGAATTGGGAGTTTTCAATTTGGAGTAGGGCAAACTTGGTCTATTTAATTTGATACTATAAACTCGTAAATCCCATTTTATTTCTATTTGGATCATAAGATAATCGACACAAAATTGAAAATAAAGGTGGCCTTCAAAAATATTGAGCCGTTTGGCGATACCTACACCCTCCAATTTTCAAAATAACGATGTTATACTGGACAAAAGGTCCAATATTTTTGTAGACCGCATTTTTTATAGATTTTGTGATGAAATTGATGATCCAAGTAAAAATGATCCAAGTAAAAAGCAATGGGTATTTACGAGTTTTTAGTACCTAATTATATAGACAAAGTTTGTCCTACTCCAAATTGAAATCTCCCCAATTCCAAGAGTTTTCGTAAATAAAATAGTTTTAGGTTACGATGAGATGAAACTATTTACGAAGTTTCAGGCGGATGTTAATAATTCGACAAAAAGGGGTCTGTGCCACGGACTACCAACTAAACGTGTTTACAGCCTTTTTAAGCTTATGAGTATTATAATATTTCCGTAAAACATATCAGAGGAATTTATAATCTTCTCTTTCACCGATATGCGCATCCACTATCGCGGACAACAAACAAACAATACAAAACAAATAAAAGACAGCAAAATCGGTTCACCAGTTCGAGAGATAATGATAACAGAAACATGCACAGACCATGATCATAACTGAAAATGATTTTTTGGACCCAAGGGCTCTGAATCACAAATTCATAGTCTGTAGAAAATTGCACCAATAAACTCATCTACTTTGCCTCAATAACCACAATCCCTATTCTGTTAACAGTAAAACAACCTGCACGAGACGGGTGACGCTAACGCGTATATACAGTTCAAATCAGCGAGTTCAAATCTCGGGACCTGGTGGGACTTTTAAATTGGCATAATTCCTCCGCCCTTCCCCTCCCCACCCCGGTTGGAAAAATCCCGTGTAGCCTAAAATACAAGGAAGGGGAGAAAAAAATAAAATAAAAATAACAGTCAAAAACCTTCTATCAGAAGTTCTCTTTGAAGAGCTATATTCAACGGATTTCTCGAAGGTAATAACTGTCCTTAAACAAATCCCTAGCTTCCTCAATTCAGTCATTCAAAAGACTTTGCTTTTCCTTATTCCGATTGCGGTTGCTTAGTGAAATAGCGAGGATGGAGATGAGATTAAGGGAACTTAAGAATTGTTTCATAAGATTCATCTTTGGGATTAGCAGGGGTTCTGTTTCCTGCTGGTACACCGAGTTGAAGTGGCTCTATCCTTCATGGTGACAATTCCTGCTTAAAATTTTTCTTTTCTAACTGCTGTGAACAAAAAAATCTCCCTACGTCCTAGAATTCCTTACTTTATGTTCCTCTATCCACTTTCTAAATACTAGATCTCAACCTATTGATCTATATATCCCCTCCCACAGAACCACTTCTTTCAGGAAATTCTTTGTCACTCGAGCTATCTCCTTTTGGAACTCCTCACCTATCCTCATATGACAATTCTCGTCTAAGAATTTCTGTAAATTTTTCCTATGCCACCATCTACTTCATATCCAAGCTACAGCGATGAACCATTTTCTTAGAAATGTGAGTAAAATACTTTTAAATATGTAACTGCTGAGTCCACTTTACCACCGAGTTCAGACAAATCAATGTAAATATAAGGTCTAAATGCAAATGCAAAATTACTTTTCAATTGGCTATCTTGAATATTCCAGGGTGGAAGTTGATTTAATATAAAATTTTCAACAAAAAAGTATATTCAACGCATGGGCCAATTCCGAACGGAAAAGAAGTTAAAATTAATTTTGTGTTTTTCTTAAGGTGATCACGCTTATTAAATAAGAAGAAATTCTTAAAAAGTAGTTTAAGATAATTAAATTCTAAGTTCGACATCGTAAAGTAGACATAATTTTCTTTGATAAAAAAGTGATTAAATATATTACAGTTACAGTACACATACCAGAGCAGCATATATCTGTATTGCCGATTTATGAAATAATCGGCATAATGGTGGACTTTGCGTTATTAGACCTCCTGAAAGTCCCTTTTATCCCTTTTATCTTAAAGTACCTTGGTACATTTAATCACTGTTTTTTAATAATCACTGGTACATTTAATTTTTCATATATCTATTTTAGGCCAAAGGTCACCAAATATACACAGTTTTATTTATTTCCTATATTCTTTAATCAACGTTTCGGCTTCAGGAGCCATTTTCAAGATCCTGCAAAACTAATTTTAACTTAGTTTTTACCATTCAAATACATCCTTATCAGACACATATTATTTAACAACCATAAGCAATACAATCAATCAAAATTTATTGGTTATTTTGAATAAATTTATATCATCCACCTACCATGCACTGATTTTTTAAATCTATCATTGCGATATGATTCGTCCTTAGGTCATTCTTTTGATTCAAAGAATGTCGTTTTCTATTTCTAAAAATTGTAATATATGAATAATAAATTAAAATAGAATGTTAATATTATTTTTTAAAAAGAATATTATTAATTCTCCATTAATATATCTCTATTTGCAGACGGTATCAAGAAATTGTTCCTCACTAGGGCATTCATACAGGACTGGATTTACTTACAAAAGGAGTGGGGTGGAGGGGTTAGGGATCAGCTGTTTTATATCAGTATATTAAATATTAATTTTGTCTATTGAGCTAGCATAAAACGTGTTTAAATTATCTACATCTGCCTGTTGATCCACCGAATGTTTAAGATTTTTAGTAATAAAAATGGATTCAATTATTCTACATTTCCCAATATTCTGTTCTCTATGCAACACGGAAGCAGTACCGAAATCAAATTTTAAATATGATAGATTTAAAAATTTTATGGCGCAGTGCATGGTAGGTGGATGATATAAATTTATTCAAAATTAACAATAATTAACGCCGGGTTAGGCGTACGGCTAAGGCGCTTGAAATAGATAATCAAAGTTAAGCAACGTCAATGGTTAGTACTTG